GCACGAAATCAATTTGAAAACACGATAAAACCCGAATCTGTCGCCAGAGTGAAAGGGGGACAACTCATATCGAGTTATACTTATTATAAAACTCAGGTTGTTTGTGTGTGTGTGTGTGTTCGTTTATATATGGGATCGGATTTCTTACATTTTTCAATCGATTTCAACAAAACTTCACTTTTTTTGGCAGGTAGTGTTTCTTATTGCACAACTTTTTTTTTTTATTTTTACATTCAGAATGCTTTAAAAATTTCATTTACAAGACCATTGTTTATAATAAAATTATATTCAATCGGTAGACTCATAACGATTGAAAACAATGTTTTTGTTTGAGTTTGGGTTTGATCAATTCGTAAAAAAAAACACAAAAAAAACTAATTAAGACATGCGTGTCCGTCAACCTTAAACCATAATCTTTGTCAATTTTATTTTTCAGTCTTTATGGTCGATACTTGATCTATCTCTTATTGTTACATCCCCGGGCAACGCCGGGCTCTCCTGCTAGTATATATATAAAGCAGAGCAGAACACCGTCGATAATCTAATTGCCTGTGTGATAGTTGGCTGAATGAAACAAAGCATGATTAAATCCTTCCTACATATCTTTCTAAACTAACGCAAAAAATGAACATTTTAACAAAGAAATATGTTTTACAATGATAGTTGTTAATAAACAATTGCTTTTTTGTGTTTTTTTTTTTCATTATTCACGTGCATCAAATTGCAATGACAGCGACATCAGACATGAAGATCGAGTAGGAGAAAAAATACCGATTCCGTGTGTTTCTGGTAAATTTCCAACTAAGGAATATTATGAAAAGTTAGAAATAATTTTTTGGGAGGAAATTGTTTGGCGAATTTTGTTTCATCAAAGAACACAGTTTTCTCGTGCGCGCATTAATAACAAAATAGAAGGTATAGTCTTTCTTATACGGGATGATTGTAAACGTCTCTAGGTCAAATGCTGAATGAGTCAGTCTATGAAGCTTTAGATAAGAAAATAGTGAACTTTTTGTAAACAGTCATAACAGTTTATGAATCGTAGGTTTATGACTATAACCCCGAAACCAAGGCTCAGTCTTCGCAGCGAAAGCCCACAAACTCTGTAAGACCGAAGAAATCCCGAATGAATCTGATATGTCCCGGAAGGGGGATATAGTTGTTTAAAGTAGCAAAGTGGTTGTTGACTACTGTAACCGGGTGGGACAATCTAGCAGGTAACCGTAATGGACTGGTCCTCGTCGTAGTGGTAGGCAATAGGCGTAGGCAATAGGCGTAGGCAATAGGCATTGACAATAGCGTAGTCAATAGGTGAAGACAATCGGCGTAGTCTTGTACCTCTACATCAGTCTGTATTTATGGCTGACACCAGCCAATCATATTACTGTGAGGAGGAACCCAGGGGCATGCGTATTCATTACATCAGAATCGAAGCAATTTAAAGACACTCTTGATAGTTTCCTTCGATTCCAAGGGCATTGTTCATCATGAGTCAGACAGTAAATAAAGGCTACTACAGCGATGTGTTGCTGCGTTTGCTAGATGCCGTTCTTCGGGAAAAGGAAAGAACTGAATTCGTCAGGTGGGTGGCAACTCCACTCTGACAACGAACCTGCCCATCTCAGCGCAACTTTTGCAGCAGTTATGGGCCAAGCACGATATTCCCTAACTCCGACAACTCCGACAATCACCCTATTCCTCACAACCTGGGACTTTCTCTTCTTACCAAAAGTCAAATCTCACTTGAAAGATTTCAAGACGTCGAGGAAAACCAAGAGAATACGACAAAAGGATACTTCCATCAGTGGAAACGACGCTGGTTAAAGTGTATGGCTTAAGAAAGAGACCACTTCGAAGGAGATTAAATACTGAATTAATATGTGTTGTAGTTTTCTTTTTATAGCGCCTGGCCAGATATTTTTTGATCAGACCTATATATATATATATATATATATATATATATATATATATATATATATATATATGAACGATCATAGTTCAATCTCAGAAAATTTAAAGAAACACTCATGTCCCCATTTACAGTTTACACAGATATTAGTCCAAGATACATCAGTCTTCATCAAGATAATAATAAGCAAAGACTTAAAATTCTGGAAACCCTTCATATGAGAAAATTGCGGTTAAAAATAAATAAAGTCTACCTACGAGTATAGCAACAAAGTTCTTAAATGTTTGTAGCAAAGTGTTATATAAAAAATAGTAAATTAAAATACTACAATTAAAAAATCTTTTAAAAACTCATATAAGTTACTTCCCTTGCATAGAGGCAAAAATGTTTTGAATTTACGGTGTTAAGGAATAACACATTCATAGATATGTAACTCCTGAAGATGGTCTCAGATGAGATTGAGAGTACATGGAAAAATAAAATTTATTGGAAAGGAATTTTATATATATATATATATATATATATATATATATATATATATATATATGTGTGTGTGTGTGTGTGTGTGTGTGTGTGTGTGTGTGTGTGTGTTTAAGATAACGGCATTTATTTTATATATCAAGGGAATATTGGTAAAAATGTATGACAAAGATGAAAAAGTTTTTAAAAAATTCCTTGCATCTCTCGTTCGTGCGCATGTGCAGTCGAACCAATATGACAAATTTAATACGATGAAGTCTTAAATGGCGAAACGCATCACAACAAAACTTTTCCACTTTGTCATACATCATTTTCTCCTGATATGATATATATATATATATATATATATATATATATATATATTGTTGGACTCTCTCTCTTTCTATATATATATATATATATATATATATATATATATATATATATAACATTTTTGCGTTTTTCAAGGTTTAAAGAATATAGGAATTGTTCATAGTTATAAGTGTATCGAGCGCTTTCAGCTACTTCTCTAGCCATTATCAAAGTGTGTTTTAGGATGGTGAAATTCTCTGTGATGCTGCTAGAGAGAAGCGCACAAGCCATTTGAACTCCACACTGTAAAATTACTATGCAGCAGACACACAATTTCACCATCCAAAACACACCCTTGATAATGGCTAGAGAAGTCGAAAGCGCTCGGATAAATTATAACGTTAGACAATTCCTATATTCTTCAACTACTGAAAAACGAAAAAAATGTTATATTGCTGGAAAAAAATCAATAAAAGATTAATTAAATTTTCCTTGTCGGCCGTTTTCAATGAAAGATGCATTAAAGAAAGGTTGCTGCCGAAATATGCATCAACATATATATATATATATATATATATATATATATATATATATATATATATATATGTGTGTGTGTTGATGTATATTTCGTCAGCAACCTTATATATATATATATATATATATATATATATATATATATATATATATATTGATGTATATTTCGTCAGCAACCTTATATATATACTCTTGGAAAATCCGGTTGAGCTCTCTTGAGAAAAGGGTAATTTTAAAAAACAGTGACTCATACTGCTATTAACGAATTGCTCTTCAATCGAATTGAATTGAGCTCTCCGGGCCACATAAAACGTCAAAATTTCCCTTCCTCTCTACCGTGCTACGATAGCCTAGGGGTGGAATCTCTGATTAATGCCAAATCAGTTTCGATCCCGGCTTGAAGCAATCGGACGTCTAGCCACACTGAAGAGCTGTGATTCTGCGAAACAGTCTGTAGATGACAATCGCGGAGAAAGAACGAAACTGTTGGAAATCAGAAGACATCTGAGACCTTCAAGCCACTCCAATTGTAAAGGGACTGAATAACCAAAGAGGGTGCTAACATGGATACCTGCTACTATTGATGGAGCAATGGATAGAGGCTTCGATTGAGGAATCGGAGAGCCGAGTTCGAATTCCCATTGCATTCACTTACGTAAATGAATGTAATGAATCCTCCTCTTCTTCTCCCTCCAGCTATGGATAAATAGCAGGACAGACTGAGTTCTATAGCCATTCAAACTCTGAATTTAAAACTGATCTGGCGTAGCTAAGGAAAGCTGATGATCCCGACTACGGTCGACAAATGATGATGCACGATGGATGCATTTATATGCCAATACACTCGTGTAAATTGCTTTATTTATATGAAAGTATGTAAGTGCTTTTTGCAGTCGGAAATAAACTGTTTACGCCTCGATTTTATTAATTTCTGTGGCGTGTTTAAAGATCTAACCCAGTTTTGGAGGGTAATCGAACATGAAATTAGGCAAACAAACCATTATATTTTATGGCTTATAAAACACATCGAACACCCCCTCCACAACGTCTTATAAACTGAGGAGTAGTAAGCGTCAAGCATCGAGCGCTGAGTACAACAAATGACGCCACTTCGCATCTAAGCGCGACAAATGTCACAAAAAATCGACTCGATTTACGTTAAAGTGTTATTTATCTCTGTGACAAGAGAATATAACTGAACTATGACAGTATTTTTCTAGTTTTATAACAGGATAAAGTTTTAATCTCTGAGGCTAAGAGTTGACCAACGCCAGTCCAGTCATGATCGAATTTCAAACGAACACTGTTGTCATCAAAAATATTTAGAGACTTACCCGCCATTCCTTTTATATATATATATATATATATATATATATATATATATATATATATATATATATATATATATATATATATATATATATATATATATATATATATATATATCACAGTCTGTTTATATCTATCTATTTCAGTCTGTTCATATCTCTCTCAGTTTTTTAATATCTACATATCGCTCTGTTTCTAAGTCTGTAACATTACCTATCTATCTATCTATCTATCTATCTATCTATCTATCTATCTATCTATCAGTCTGTTCATATCTATCTATCCATTTCAATCTGTTCATATCTTTCTGTCTTTTCATATCTACATGTCTGTCTGTTTCTAAGTCTGTAACATTATCTATCTATCTATCTATCTATCTATCTATCTATCTATCTATGTCATTCTCTGCTGTGGAGATACTTATATTTTCCTTTGAGTAAAGCCCAGAATTTAATGACCACCAGTTTATGATTTTTAATGGCATGTCATTTCAGGACTCCCCACAGCCACCCCCGAATCGCTACTAGCACTAGGACCATCGAAAGATAAAATACGCTGGACAGCTTAATAACATACAAGTTTGTAAAAACAACACTATTTTACAGGCATGTAAATATGCTATCTATGATGCCAATATCCTATTTTGATAACATATTTTATTATTACAAACGTTATTATAGTAGATAGTCGCATTTGAAATATACGCCCAATTTTTATTTTAGTCATTGTGCTTTGCGTCTATCGACCTTCTTATTCGAGAAATCTTGATAAATGAAATGTGCTCTATGGCAGGAATCGATGTGCTTTTCCGCTCAGCTGCAATGAGCGTAACTGTTTAGTAAATCTTTATTGTCCCTTTTCAGGAACAGACACCCTCCTCTCTAAGATATTTTTTTAAAAAGCCCATATTTGCTCAGTTTTGCATCCAAGACCTAAACAAAGCAACTTCTAAAGAATAAATGGATCTATTTTTAATTTGACATTTTAATTACCGTGGATCCTTCATATTTGAAATAGATGACCCATTTCTATTGATTAAACAGTATACCTTCATATTTCATACATTATTATAGTGGATACTCTGTATTTGAAATAGACAGCGTGTTAAGTAGACGGTCATACGTCTGTCGGCTTGCGCATACTCAGCAGGGATCGAAACTGAGTTTTTCTTTACAGGGGAACCCACCGTTCAATCCATTATATTTACCGTTCCGACACGGAAAACGTCGCATCAAGCAAAGATTATATTTTCCCTTTTTAAGGGGAGCACATCCTCTTCACCCAGATTATTTTCTCGAAAGCACATATCTGCTCCGTTTCAAATCCAAGACGTAAGCAAAGCAATTCTCAAAAACAAATGAATTTATTTTTTAATTCGACATTTTTATTACGTCAAACGTCATAATGGTGTATACGTGTATGTAAATGGAAAAAATATGACTTGGTCCAACTGTTGTGCACTTTGTAGCCAACCTGTAAAGTGCAACAGGTCTAAACAATGGTTACTCCTACAAAGGGGATGCAAGTTCGATTCCGGTCCGATGCGGAGAGCAGATTTTCTTCTTTTTTTTGTTAAGTTTTCACAAATACGCAGATCGATAGATTTAATACACATTGTTTAAAGGTTTGACTATATTCATATTGTCTTTTTACATATATATTTTAGTTATATTTGAAATTTTATATACATACGCATAGAAAGATATATACATATATATACATATATATATATATGTGTGTTCATGTGTATGTGGCTGTGTGTGCGTATTTGCATGTGAATAAAGATAGATATTGAATAGATGGAGATAGATAGATAGATAGATAGATAGATAGATAGATAGATAGATAGATAGATGTGGACAGACTGGCATAGATGAAAAGGAAGGTTGACAAAGAAAGAAAGTGCGGGGTCCTTATATATATATATATATATATATATATATATATATATATATATATATATATATCGCTCATATAGCGCTAGTGTTAATAAAACAGTGCTCGATGTAATATAACAGAGGTATTAAGTATATATTAATAAAGATTATGTACATATTATCCCTTACCGCTACCACGACAACATTCAGATGGTGAGTATGGATTGCGTTGTGCATGAAACTCCGAGCGTGCTAGCGGTGAAGGATATATATATATATATATATATATATATATATATATATTTAAGCATTTCACTCCAAGCAAGGCGAGATGCCACTAGCACGCAAGGGGTTACAGAGTGGGAGCAAGAGTATAGAGGCGTGATAAAGGAAAGGATGAAGAGAAGGACAGGGAATAGGTCAGGGTATCTGGAGATGTCGATTGACATTACATTTGAATAGTTGGAGATTATAGCTATCAGGGAAACAAGTAATAGGAAGAGAATTCCACAGGCAGGAGGTACGAGACATGAAGCTAATGGAGTAGAAAAGACGGCTACATTTAACTGTTTCGACAGGTATTGGGTGGGACCGGGATGCCAGCCTAGTAGCACGCTTAAATTCATGCAGCCTTGAAATTAGCGAAAGTAGCTCTTCGGAGCAGTTACCGTGAAAGTATTTGTAGAAAAGACAGAGAGAGCGACTGTAGACGAGATGCCAGATCAGGACCAATCACACTGTATATCCGTCTCTGGATTTTGTCCAGGACCTTGAGGCGAACAGCGGAGTCATCAGGACATATATGACAGCAGTATTATATGAGTATAACTAATTTATTTACAAATTCTATAGAAAGAGTGTTACAGGGTATCATTATGAATTTTGTGTTGCTGGTGTTAGAAATACTTTCGATGGTGTCTATTTTGGGGATTTGTGGACTTTGTATGTGCTCGTTTTTTAGCGTTGAAGATGAAATGATGTGGGTAGTGAAGAAATCTAAATGATTTTTTCAATATATATATATATATATATATATATATATATATATATGAAAATTCTCAGAATTAATCTGTAGAAAAAGACAATATGTATAAAGGAAAAAAGACAATAGGAAAACTGTATGTAGTTTTAACCAAAACTGTGTTAGTTTTTGCTAAGAGTACATACAGTTTTCGCATTGTCTTTTTTCCTATTGTCTTTTTTCACACACACACACACACACACACACACACACACACACACACACACACACACACATATATATATATATATATATATATAAAGATATGTTTGTTGGTACAAAATTTTATTATTACCCCTCATGATAATAAATGAAAAACGCGCTAGCTAACCGGTTTCGTACCTCGCTCAACAGAGCTAAATCGAGGTAAATAGAGTAAATTATATAATAAATGGTTTATTGGTGGGAAAAAAATTAAATGGTAATTATTTAGAGGCCTAATATAAAGTCCTTCTGTTTACAAAGAGAAGGCTTTAATGATAGAATATAGATGGCCTCCAACACTTTTAGCTGGTAATTTGACTGGGACTTGCTAAAGATGGTAAAAGCGTCACCACTAAAACTAACAGCACAAATTATGGCTATTTATAAGGTGTTCTGCGATGGAAGAACCATACGTATTGGTCAGATACATATATATATATATATGTGAGAAGAAAGAGTTAGAGAGTGAGTGAGTTAGAGAGAAAGATTGATAGCAACTGTGAATGAGAAAGGAGAGAAAGAACAACGAATATGCATGACGTCATAAGTTAGTAGGTTTTTTTTAAAATACTTTATTTAAATCTTATTTTAATGTGTTTTGTGCCCGTTCATTCGTTATGGCTTCGTTTCGTAGAACGATAATACGTAGCAATCATAAAAGTAGGCGGAGGCGGAGAAAATAGGATTAAAAATGGTGGAAGGTGGTGGGTGTTGGTTTAGGTAGCTGACGAGGTGAAGGCGTAGTGGTATGACTAGTGGTGGCACTAGTGGAGACTTATTTGCCTACTCTCCGTTTGCACATAGAACGACCTGATTGCTTACCAGTTACATACATAAACACAGTCGGATATACGTGTGCACATGCATGTTAACATACACGCTGATACACGCACACATACATATCCACACTGACACACAGATGCGCAACATGTGTTAACACACGAATCAATAAGCCACTGCCTTAAGAGCTGAAATTTGCTAATATGGTTTACGTTTAATTGTGCGCATCGCCTCCTATGTCCTTGTGCCTATCTAAGTTTAATATATTAGGTTGTTCTGAAAATGATGTTTTAATATATTATTTTAATAGTTGCACAAAAATATATTTCACATTCCTAATGATTAATATGCCCTCTTTGTTAATTTTATATCAATCTCATTCAGAATTAAAATTAAGACATTATCCCACGTCTTGAACCTGAAAAAAGAGGAGATGAGTTTTTTTTTTTTTTTTTGCATTCAGGCTTTTCAAACTGCTGACACATGAATAGAGCGTATGGTAAATGATCCATTTTTGATCTGGCAATACAGTGTTGACTTCTGAAGTTCCGCGGTGGGGATACGAATCTTGAAGATCAAGGTGGTAGAGGATGTCGATCTGCAATTGACAATCAACACAAGAAATCACTAGTCGAACAAAGCCCACGTCAAAGTGTCAGAGAAGTGTCTCAGATAATGGGTGTCAGCCTTTCAACAGTATCGGACAATCTCAAGAAAAATGGCAAAGTGAAGAAATTCGATAAATGGGCTCCACATGAACTCAATGAAAGTCAAATAGCTCGACATTTTGAAGTGTGGTCAATGCTACATCTGCAAGATTCAAATGATTGATTTCTTGATCGAATAGTGATTTGTGATCAGAAATGGATCCGTTATGAAGATCTTAAACGATCGGCACAGTGGCCTGATCTTCATCTTGGAATATTTTAGTGACATACCCATTCATCAGGAACGAACAATAACACGAGGAGAAAATATCAAAATATCACAAGAATCAAAAGATGCCCCATATAAACAGATTAATGGAAACCTGATGATGACCACATGGTTGATTGTCGAAATGTTGTGTCTATAATATTGACATTATATTATATACATTCATTATATTATATTATTCATCTCTGGAATGAAAGAATGGAAAAAATTATATACCGGTAACATCAGTAGCTTTAGAATGTTTCAGCCACGTGTCGTGGTGATCATTAAAGTCATTTAAGACAAAGATGTTAGCAGATAGATGAAGAGAAAGTGCCTTTTCTATACCGTCTGCTATTGTATCTATTATATTGCAGTCTTGGGAAGAGGCGGGGGCGATAAAGGAAAAAGAGATTACTGACAGAGTTTAGTAGCAAAAGATGGAAGCACATAAAAGAGTAGTCAGCGGCCTCGAGAGACAACTTTCTGGCCATATATATATATATATATATATATATATATATATATATATATATATATATATATATATATATATATAGGTAACTATACTCGTCTCGAAAATGGGGATGATATTCAAGGTACTTACATGGAATTTTTTACAATTTAAAAAAAGAGAAAAAATTGTTTTGGGCTTGCTTATCAGGGTGAGCGCAAATGCAGACCCCACACTTAGAAATATCGCACCCGAGTCGCGCTTATTTGGGACGTTTACAAAGATCAACCCAACCAAAGTGCAATGGAAGGGTCTCGTTCAGGGTGAATTTGGTGCAAATTTTAGTAAATATATTTTTTTTGGAGGTGGGGTGAATTAATATTTTGGGGTAAATTAACGGAAATGATCCAGGTAAAAATACTTATATTAATGCTAGATGTTTATTCCAGAAAATCAAAATAATGTGAAAAAATGAGATTCTTGTTTCATTTACGTCGAAATCTTTTAGATCTCTTCATATCGAGTAGCTACACCACACCCATCCGGTATTGCACACAGAGACTTGGCTGGGTTGTTAGGGTTTCAACGTCTTTAACTTTGCATTGATTGGTGCAAACTAGATGTTCCATAGTTTGTGATTGTTAGCACTTGGGAACAACATCGGTGGTATATCCCGATTTCTGAAGGTTGGCTCTACAGCAACCACCAGCTGTTCGGAGGCGATTCAGGATGGACCAGGGGTGGATGCTGTACGACTGATAAAGAACCTGTGTTCCACGTTGTTAAGGTGGCTGCACCACGGGGAGAGACGCTGACTAGGAGCTCTGTTCTTCAGTGGTTCGACTGAGTGTAAAAAAGCTGTGTCTTGACTTGAGCCTCTTTGTCATTGGTTCACAACCGCCGAGTGGATGTGTCCATTTCCTGCTTCAACTTTTCAAGTTGGGGATAAATTGTCCTTATGTAAGTTTTAGTTAGGAGGTGGGTCAATACCACTAAATAAGTAGAGGTCTGGATTCCTTCTGTGGATGCCATCAGTTAGATGAAGAATTGTCATTATTAAATATCATATTATTCGGACCGGCATGTCTGTCTTGTGTAAAAAGATTCTGCGGATCCGTATAATTCTTCTTTGGTAGATTATAAGCATTAATAATTAACGTTTAATATTTTGGCTCGTTTTTCTGTCATCTTATTTTTGTTGCTTCGTATTGTAAATGTTGAGACGCTTCTGTTATTTTTTTTTTCTTTACATATGCAATCATGAAGGAAGCAGCAGTTATTAGAAGATAAAGAGTTAATCTAAAACAAGATTTCAACTCTTAGCTTGTATACTTCGGAATCTGTCTGACATAGTAAAGTAGGCTACAAAAGTCAACGAAAATTTAAAATTTGAATCATACACTATATCTGATTTTAATGATCATTGCAATGAAGAATATATATAAGACGAAAGAAAAAAAGAAAAATAATAATAATAACGAAAGATTAATAATAGCAAAGTTCCATATCTGTAATGCGAACAACTTCGAACTAATACCGTTTATTGATCAAATATTGATTATTTACCAGTAATTTTTATACTTTAAAACGTCTAATAAATTAGACTTCATGAA